CAACTTTTTGAGAAAGTGCCATACCTCCTTCCACAGTGGTTGCACCATCAATTCTTTTTTTTTTTAAATTATTGACTTGTATACAATAATTTATCTATATTTTGTTTCATTCACTATCTTGTTTTTATACAATTTCATTTACATTGTTTCATACAATCATGTGTATATATGTTGCTTTTTATATAGTTACTATAGATCTATGCCTCAAGGAAACAGATTGACCCAATGACTTCAGCAATGGGCTCTAGTGTGTCAGAGATGATGAGGATGGCCTAGGTTAGGGCAGGTTAAGGTTGGCTATGAGTCACTCAACAACACCTAACAACCACCAACACATATCTATTGTTACCACATCTTTTTTGAGTCTTCAAAGAATCTATCTTATTCCTTTACACCACCTCCCCCATCTGCCCACCAAACTCTGCTATCCTAGTGATTTTCACTTTCTCCTCTTTTCTACTTCCTTCCCCTTTTGGACATTTGTGTACATTTTACTGGTTTCCCTTCTATCTTTAATGGTTTTATGCAGTATTTGTCCTTTTGAGACTGAGCTAGTTCATTCAGCATAATTCTCTCTAGACTCTTTCATGTTGTATAGTTTTTACAAAATTGTTTTTTCTTAATGCTGCATAGAATTCCATGATGTGTATGTACCACAATTCCTCGATCCATATTCTTGCTATTATGAATAGCACTGCTGTGAAAATAGATGTACATATTATCTTCATTTGTGTCTCATTTCTTCGCATTCTCTCCAACATTTATTGCTTACCAAGGTGAGATGGTATCTCGTTGTGGTTTTGATTTGTTTCCCCTCTGATTGCTCATGATTTTGAACATTTCTTCATGGATTTTGAACATTTCTTCATGTGTCTGTTGGCCATCTGAATATTTTCCTTTGTGAAAAGACTTTTCATGTCTTTTGTTCCTTTTGTATTGGGTTATCAGTCTTTTTCATGTGGAGGCCCTGTAGTATTCTGTAAACTTTGGTGATGATATCCTTTGAAATGTCATTGCCAAATGTTTTTTCCTAGTCTGCAGTTTTTCTTTTCACCCTTTTGGAAAAAAAATTTGATGTACACAGGGACTTAAATTTCAGGAGGTCCTATTCACAGATTTTATCCTCTCCTCTCCTGCTTGACCACAGTGTAAAGTTCTTGAATTTTTTTCTGCATTTTTAAAAAGCTGTGGTGAATAGGAATGCCAAAATTCTATTTCCAAATATTTTGTTTTAGTGTATGAGAATACAATTATTTTTTAGTATGAAACTTGCATCCTGTAACGTTGTGGAATACATTTATTAGACTTAATTGTTTGATTACTTAGCAATTTATTATTAGATAGTCATACCATCTGAAATAGGTATAGTTTTACTTTTCCACTTCTGATTGATTTTTATGCTTGTCATTGCTTTAATGCATTGATAAAGATATTCAGCATATTGTTGACTGTGAGTAGTGGTAGTGAGCATACATATTTCTGATCTAAGAGATTTTTTTGTCAGTTCTGTTGTTTTGATAGCACTTTGGAGTCAGATGCAAATTGTACTCCATCAGGCTGTAAATCTTTATCAGAACAAGACTGCACATCTTTCTCCTTCAGGATAGCTGGTGAATTCACACTGCTGAGCTTCAGATAGCCGCCTGATGCTTATTCTAGTTCAGCTGACTGTAGAAGCTTATATTCATTGTATTATCAACAGTATTGTTAGTATCTATCATTTGGATTTCTCAATTTAGAAGATATTAATTTGAGCATAATCAAATACTCTTTCATACTTACTGTGTAAAACCATTAGTGTAGAATGAGTATAAGGATGCAAGAGGGGTGGGAGAGGTTGGAAGCAGAGGGATGAAGATGTGCAGGGGAGAGGGAATTAATCATGGGATTGCACAATTTGATGGGGGTGGGGTGAGGGAAATGGAAATAATTTGTTCTTAGAAACAACATATTCAAATTTTATAAATGAGTAGAAGATTTTAAAAAAAGGAATAATATTATGTCTTCATTTTAAGATTTATAGTGGAAAACTCTCCAAAATGCTTTTATGGTTATTTTTAGACTACAATTCAGATGCATTAATTACTTGGGCCTTGATTTTTTGTTTATTTGACTTTTCTGTTTAAACATTAAAGATTTGTATTTGAAAATGTAGTTTTATTTATGTATGTATTTATTTATTTATTTTTAAATCTAGTTCATACAGCCTCAACAGAACTAACAGAGCCCAAGGCAAAAGAAGAGGATCATGATAACCTAGTTAAATATTTTAGCGTTGTTTGGTGTAAAGCTTCAAAGAAAAAACACAAAAAGTGGGAAGGTGATGCTGTTCTTGTTGTGAAAGGCAAGTCACTTATATTAAAGGATTTGGAAGGCAAAGACATTGGAAAAGGTATGTATCTCTGGATTCACAGCAAGTTTATGACTGACATAAGGTTTTATCAACAAGGGCAGATTAAACTCTTTAAGTGGTTTGTATGAGGAATGAAAGTATCTCACAATTTTTCGTTATTTCAGTAATCCTTGGATTTATGTGTACCACTAACTACAGCTATCCATATTCCTCTATTGTTTGAAGGGGCTTTAGAGGCCTTTTATTTCAGAATTGTATGGCCAGTCATGCTTCCTAGTCTTTCTTAATCTGGGAGCTCCACTGAAACCTGTCCACCATAGGTGGCCCTTCTGACATTTGACACACTTGTGGCATATTTTCTAGCTTCACAGCAGTCTGCACGTTACCCTAGTACAACAAACTAACAGACAAGTGCTGTACAAATAAAAGCAAATGTTAAGCAATTAAGCATATACACACCTAAACTATTATTAAGTAATTAGTGACTGACCTCACTGAAGCAAACTCCATCCCATGGTTTAATTTTATTATTTTTTAAGAAAACAAAATGATTTGCCAGAGGTCCTTTTTTGACATATTTCTGACATTTAATTGTCTGAATGTTCTTTTATTTCTTTGGCTACCCCTTGAATGTTAAATGAATAAAAATTTGAAAGCTATTGATATCAGGAGGAAAATGATAGCTAATTTCAGTGATAACTAATTAAAATTTTTGGAAAAGAAACAAACCAAAACCCCAAGGAGACTCTGGTATGACTTTGAATAATACATCCAAATTGGAAGTCATCATAATTTACTTAAAACAAACTAACACAAATGTTGCTAGAAGTCTAGGTTTAAAGATTCAGAATATCTAAGCATCAGCCTTAGTTTTTTTTTATGCTATATCTTATTAAAAGTTTGAATATATCTATAGTTTATTCACAAGAAAAGAAGAGGACTCAGATAGTTTAACAAACTCTTCTTGACTTGATTTTTCATGGATGAAATGCAAAATTATAAGAATGTAACGGGCAGTGTTTTGCATTAAAGACACAAGTACTGCTTTTTCCTTAAGCATGGCTAATTTTTAACTGTTTTCTTTCTTATTTATCCCAATTTTTAATAACCAAAATAAAACTCTGTCACCCTTCTAGCTAGTGGATTATATAAGATGCTTACAATTAAAAACTTTTTTCATTCCTTATCTTTGATATAATATTAAGGAAAGGAGACTCTGGTGAGTTAGTAATTTTGGAGCTGAATGCTAGTAAATGATAGAAACTTTTTTCTTCTCTCAATTTAAAGGCATTGGATATAAGCTCAAAGACCTTGAAAATTTAGATGAAGGTCAAACACTGATGATTGGTGGAAAAGAAATAGAAGTCATGGGTAAAATCTCTCCCGCTGATTTCAACAGTGGCAAATGTTTTCAACCTGGAGAAGGAAGTCCTGCTGTCTCAGATTCTCAGATTACCAAGAAGTCTTTCTCTAAGCCTTTCAAAAATGTCTGTAAATCATATTCAAAGGAAAATATACAGAATGATTTCCAAAATTGCAAACCACGCCATGACCCATATGCACCAAGTAAGAGTTTTAAAATAATTTGAGTATTCTATATTTAGTGTTTTTACATATTTGGTATGCAAATTTGATATTTAAATTTTATTTTAATGTGTTAAAAGTATGTATTATTTTTCAGATATGTAATCTGATCCAAGGGATAATATTGAAGTTATTTAACAATATAATTATGAGATTATTTAATATATAAATCCATAATCCCTAAAATAAGTATTTAATACATATATTAAAGGAAAAAAATATATAAATGTAGGTGAATATATGCATAGCTTTGAATAATACCAAATATCTTTAGCAAAAAGAAAAATTGATGAATTTATGAATCAGGATTGTGCCTGTATCTCACATTTGAAGACCTAATCCTTGATCACATGTATTAAAATACCAAATGGTAAGCTATCATGTAAAGAATTTAAATTTTACATGTAAGAATATATTCTTTTGCTTGTTTATGAAAGAATTTCGTTATTGTTGAAAATATATGCAGCAGAATTTATACCAATTTAGTAGTATATTGAGTATATTCTTTAAGTTGCATAGCCTTCTTTCCCTGCTTTTCTGAGTTGTCTCCCAGTAACATAAAAAAAGATAAAGGAGAATAATCCAATTGAAAAATGGGCACAGGATATGAACAGACACTTCACCAAGGAAGACACTCAGATGGCCAACAAGCACATGAAGAAATGTTCAAAATCCCTAGCCCTGAGAGAGATGCAAATCAAGACAACCATGAGATAT